GAAGCTGTTGCTTTTCAGATGAAAGCCACGTTAATGCTTCTTGAAAGCAGAAGTTGTCACTTCATTTTCCTAGTTTTCTTGCAGCACAGGTGATGCCAAGATGATGATGCATCAGCAGTGCTATTTCTACCCATTTTTCTGGGACAAGCAGGTGTGTAACATGTGCTTCCTCCTCCTCGGATCCTCCCAGGAGAGCGTTTGTGTTGCTAGACTGGAATACCAGTGGAGATTTTGTTACAGGCAGTGGGGCAATGTCAGCATTCAGTTTTTAAGTGGTTAAAGGAAAGCAGAGCAAAAAACAGTCAAGATGGCTTGGAGGTCAGGTGTTTAAACCTTTGGGGCCTTTGGAGAACTTCTTTCCCCCTCTTCTTGGAATTCTGTTGCTGCTGCTTTTGCCTGCATAGTTAAGATGCCACTCAGTCAGTTATGGTAATCAGAGTTGTTGTACCAATATAAAAGTACTCTTTCCTGTGTGCTAGAAACAGATTTTCACATGTAGATTGATTTGGTTGATTGGTTTTCAGTAATTTGTGTTATAATCTAGATGCAGTTAGTAACATTGATGGACTGTGTTCAGAGTGGTGCAGGATCTGCTGGAGTGCAGATGTTACACTGTCATATCATAGACTTAGAAACTGATTCCAGTTTTGTTGTGACTGGAAACACCAGTGACTGGTAGTCAGGAGGGTTTGGAATGTTGCTCCAAGAGAGGTATTTAAAATGGCTTTTTTTTTCAGAGAGAACTAATGGGGGAGGACAGGTACTCAGCATGAGGAATTTCGATGACTGAGCACTGGATTCTCCAACACCAGCTCACTAGTGGGTTTTGCAAATGCAGGCTGGAAGTGCTTTCCACTGTGCCAGCATCAATGGCTCATTCACTCAATATTCTTAACTTCTATTATAGGAAAAATGTATTGCAAATGTGATAGACTTTGAAAAAAAAATCATATTTGAAAAATCCCTGGAGTTTAGAACTCGTGTATCTTGAAACTAGCATTTTAAAAAGGGGGAAACCAGCCCTTGTGAGTAGTTCTCTTCAATCAATTGGTTGTTAAAGCTCAGTATGGAAGATAGGGGATGAAAACCCCCAAAATTTCTGATCATGCAGTTTAAGACAGGCATTTTGTTATTTTGTTTATTCACATTAGTTAAAATGTGTTAGTATTTGGAAGATAGGGGATGAAAACCCCCAAAATTTCTGATCATGCAGTTTAAGACAGGCATTTTGTTATTCTGGTACATGTTTATTCACATTAGTTAAAATGTTTTAGTATTTTTAATAACATATTGTGCATCTCTGGTAAATGGTCAAACTGGGTTACAGTTGTGAACTGCAAAATGTAACAGATCCATGGATTTGGGTTTGGGTTTGCTAATTTGTTTTTCCATTCCAAAGGAGAGGGTTGGAACCAGTGAGAGGAGAGTGAAAAGCTGACAGAGGTAGTTTGGTGCTGTGTCCCTCTCCCCTCAAGGATTCCACAAAGCTGCATCCTCTGCACACCCTCTTGCCTCTCTCCAGAGGAGATTTTTTTTTCCATTTTTCTTGTACAGCTGCAAGGGGAAAATAATAGAAATTTCTCTAACCCTATTTTGACATTTCTCACCATTTGTGGCAGGAATCAAGCTCACCAGACTGAGGTATCTTTAAGGGATCCTGACTACGCTTAGTGCGAGGTTAAGGACTGCTCTGCAGAGTGAAGTCAGCTGGAGGCAGTGGGAGAAATGCAGTGTGAAATATGTGCTTCCAAAAAGAGAGGATTCCTTCCCAGGAGCCAGGACAGAAAGCTGCTATCTAGGTTGCCAAGACGGTTTGAGAAGGAAAGGGAGATCAGATTTGACTCTGAATTAAGCCTCTTAGGGATTACGTATCTTATAAAAGTAAGTCTAGGGGAGGTAACATTACAATCGGAAATTTCCCAAACTTCCCCCTCAGACTTTGAGAGTTTTTCTTCCAAATTCAGTGTCTGTTTCAACTTTGGCAAAGTTCCTACACGTATTAGTGTATCTCTGATGTGTTTTAGATGTTACTTACAGAGTGTGGGGGTGGTAAATTAGTGCTGGTTGTCAGTGGCTTGGGTAGGAGTTGTGGAAATAACGTAATGAAACTTTTTTTGGTTGTTCCAAGTATTAGATTTTATTTATCAGTTTTGGGGGGAAAAAAAAATAACTTTGAGGCTTTTGAAATTATTTGGAATAATTTAGAGTGTACAGGCTTGGACCCCAAAAGATAATATTGATAATCTTTTTTGCAAGGGTGTATTTCTTTTGTAAAATCCAAGGGCCCTCCAACTTTAAAATGCTTACTACAGAGGTATTTTAGTTGCAGAAAAACCTTTTGGATTTAAATAGTTCTGAGTAACTACTACAGTGATGTTTTTCTGGCTGTTTCAGAGCTAAACCAAGCTCATCTTCGAGCTCATCTGTACAGCACCAGACACAGTGACCCATTGGGGTGTGGGATGGATGGACAGACAGCAGGCAGGGAGCTAACGTGGTATTTCAAGCTGGTTAAAGTGACTTCCACCCCTTGCCCCCCAACCTTTTTGTGCAGGTTGTTACTCCTGCCATGTGATGTGATATCTCAGTTCTTTTTCACTTCAGCACGTAGCTGTGCCTTAAAAAGGGTAGAAAATTCTGTTGTGCTTGCAGAAGTCTATTTTTTGAGAGGTGAGGCTGACTTGAGAGACAGAGGACAGGAAGGTCAGTGAAGTTGGGTAGGTTTAGTGTCATCAGTCATAGGGCCTAATAAGTTTATTTTGAAACAGTATTTTGCTCAGTTTATTATGCAGTAAACCAATTTAACTGGTTTACTTTGTGTTTGAGGGTATAAAGTATTGTTAAAGCCTCAACTCACATAAAATCTTGCTTTTTTCAGACCCACATAATATGCATTTTTTTGCACTCTAGTCTAAAATTAAGTTTTGGCTTAGTTGCTGATAAATTTGTAATGTCCTGTTTTAAGTGATGAAGCTGCATAGACACAACATTTCCTTACGTGAATATATTGTTACAAAGTAAAACAGTTCCACTAAGATAGGATTAATGATCACTTTGTTTAACTTCAGTCTTGTACTCCCTAATTACAAAATAAACACTTCTGCTTAGAAGGAAGTACCAGGCCTTGGTTTAAAACGTTGCTAAATGAAAAGCCTGCATTATTATGGGGAGGAATTAGTTGGATTTATGTAACTTTTAATAGTCTATAGTTGAGCTTGCTTTGTTGCATGACTGCATCAAAAATATCTACTAAACACATAATTTAGTTATGATTCAGCGAGTGTTTTTCTTAGGCATGTTTTTAGAATATGATAAATTCTAGCTGGTATGTTCATGAATAAAAATGACTTGGTTCTGGTGAGAGCTTAAGCCAACTTTGGTCCTGTGCCATGAGCTGTGAAGCCATTCACTGATGCCCAGTTCAGGGATCCTGTTCTGTTGAGGTGCTGTTGGCCACGGGAAGGTTTTTGAAAACCTTGACTGATTCACTGTGCTCCAGACACTTGTATCAGGCATGTTCCAGGTTATTTTGACTGTTAGAACTGTTTGCCACTAAACCAGATTACATGAGTATTTGAAAACGCAGAAGGGTATTAAAATAGTCAGGCTCTTCCCAGACATGGTATCCCTGTTAATCCTTTTTTGTGTGAGAAAAGTCCTTTTTGTAATTGCTGTGGCATTTAGCTTCAGATTTGAAATTTATGAGTGTAGGTGGCTGAGGGTCATGCAGACAGTGAGTACATGAGGCTTAGTGGAATAAACCACCTAAAAGCAGGAAAAAATACTGTGATTGAGTTACTGTCTCTACAGTTTGTGATAACAGCCTGGGCTTCACTAGAGATGATTTTTCAAATTTTATGAACTTTTTGATGGTTCAACTCCCAGTGTAGTTGTATCTTGACACAAGCAAGCTAAGGATTTACCATGAGCAAGACTTGGCACTGCTGATAAAGTTTTTCTGGTGGAAGGGTGGAGGAGAGCAGAGAATGGTCTGAAATGGCTTTTGGGGCATGCTGAAGGTGACTGAGAGTGGTGAGCTCTGAGGTCCTGGGCCGGGCTGACCTGCTTTTCTCCACAGCCATAAGATTTGTGACTGGTGACTCTTAGAGTGGATATCCTTCCACATGCCAAGAATGTTATTAGTGGTACTTTCCAGGCCTTTTGTCTATTTTGTCTGTTTATTGAACTCCTTGTTCAGCTTCTCTCTGTCCCAGTATCTCTCTGCTGTCCTCAAACTTCCAGGTGCTATGAAACCACATGCCAGGGGTTTTTATTGGGAATGTTTCACCTTCTGTAAAATAAATGTAAGCTCTCTGTGTTGGGCTTTTTGTGCTCTTGTTAGTTAGTTGGGTTTTTTTTGTAGACATACAGATGCAAAATACCTGAAAGGGTACAGAAAGATAATGTTGGGAACACTTCATCTTAGATTTGTTTTGCAGAGTTTCAGGCACGGGGGTGACAAAATTCCTCAGAGCAGCTGTACCAAAATTGGTGGTATTAAGCTGTTGTGTATTTTTTTACACCTGGACCATTTCAGTTCTGTGCTTGTGCACTCAGGTGGCAGTGCCATTAGTCTGATAACTCATTAGTTAAGCACAACTCTGGAAAAGTAATTCTTGATTTTTCTGTTGTGGATAGGTTTCTGTGTCGATTTAGAAGGTAAACCAGCTTGTGTCCGGGGCTTTTGTGAGCTGATGCAACTTCTCACCCTACATGTTTGTTTAAAAGTGGTGGTGGGATGAGCTGCAGTTTGTGCTGTGATTACTTCCAGTGAGAATTTGAAGGAAAATGCATCTTATACAGTTTTAGAGCCTAAAGTACTTTGCTAAAGACTTAGGTAGGAATTAAGATGAGAGTTGGGATGCCAACAGGTGAGTTTCTGGCTCCAAACACACAAGTCTTTTTTGAATGTTGGTATTGTAATAGATTTTATAATGAATTTATTAATTATACTGAATACAAATCCTTCTCTAATGAAGATCCTTCTCTTTTGTTTTTAGTATATTTTTGGGGAGTTCAGCCCTGATGAATTTAATCAGTTCTTTGTGACTCCACGATGCTCTGTTGAGGTAAGATCTGCTTTATATTTCTTTTTAGAAAGATTTTAAAGCTACATCTCTTTACATGTATTTGAAATATACAAATACAATTATTTTTTTTATCATTCACTTGGCTTGCTGATTTACAAGCTGAAGATACTGAACAGGAGTTGTCGTTCCATGAATGTTGGTGTTAATTTTTAGAAGGAAAATGCATTATTCCACCTTCTGTTTGTCATCTCTCAGAGCTGGAGTAGCTGATGTTGTAGGAATGGAGTGTTGAAAGTGATTTTTATCTAGCCTTATACCTCAGCTTTAATTGCTGAAGGTTTTTTAGAGGTGAATATAGAGAAGACTTTTCCAGCAGCATTCTTGGTTGTCAGTAAGGTGGACTTCTCAGTCTTGTGAGCCTTTTGAATCCCAGGGATTGTTAATGTTTTTTGACAGCACTGTTAGCCATCTTACAAGGAAGGCTGTGTGTGAGGGCTGAGAAACTGGAAACGGATCAATAATGAACTAATTACAGTGGTAATGAGAACCACAGGGTGGAAACAATTGTCTTTGTGTGTTTGAGTTTTTAAGGTACTACAGGTAGTATTGTAGACTCTTATTTGCTGTAGCTCTTGGCAGAGTGAAGAAAACATTCTCCTTTGAAGGGAAGAGTATTATGCCATTGTCCTAATCTCCAGACTGGAAAAAAGAATTTTCCTGTAGGTCAATTTCCATATTTTTCCTCCAAACATTTCTATTCAAACATTTGAACCAGGCTTCCGTCCTTAATTTCCATATTTTTCCTCCAAACATTTGAACCACGCTTCCGTCCTCCCACCTCAACATAAAGGAAATGAGCACTCCAACCAAAGATGGGGAAATCCTTCTGTGACATTTTACAAATCTGACAACCATTGTTAAGGCCACTTAGTTTCCTGTAACTTGATTTTCCAAGTGCAATCAGTATAATATACTGCTAAACAATAAAAGTGCATGAAGGGAATGGGGTGGGAGGTGTTGGAAGTTTACAAAAAAAATGCAGCTTCTGCTTGCCTTCAGGGATAGCTTTGTGTCTTCTCTGGGAGGTGGGAAGTAATGCAGACTAGATCTTCAGGTAATAATGTGTTTCTGCTGATTTTATTGTTCTCTTCCCACCATTGAGTGCAGCAGCAGCCATGTGATGTTTGCATCCTGTGGATCCTGTAGGACCTTAACTGTCCTACTACATCAGCTGTGCTAACATAGCTGACATTGTGGAAGTTGAAAACATCTTGTCTTGACTTTTATAAAGCTATTCTCATAAAGAATGAACCTACAATGTTAGAACCAGCCTTACCTTGTTTTATAACTGTCTCAAGTGTACCACTTACTGGTTAGCTATCAAAATAAAAAACTGTGTTGAACAACGTTCCCTAAGTTTGTCCTTGATCTGGTTCAGTTCAATGCTTTAATTATCTGGATGATGAAATAAAAATGATGCTTATTAGTTTTACACTGTACAGATATTTCAGAGAAAAGTGGTCTGAAAAAAAATGGGATAAAATCCAAGAAGGACAAGGCTGAGTTTATAACGCTGCAGTGGGGTTTGACATACATTCTGCTGTGGGCAGTGCCTGGTCTGGGAGTCCCAGCAGTTGGTGCTGGTGTCCTTCTGGAGTCCCTTACCTGGAGACTGAGGGTGGACTGAGGCAAGGGATTAGTTAAAGCTAAGAGTTGCCTAGACTGTCTCTTTGTATGTGGCATTTTTAATACGTGTTCTATCAGATACCTGTTGACTGAGGTGACTCAGATTAACCCAGTTGTACCAAACAGGTCAACTCAGAAATCTCTACTTGGCTAAAGTGCTGTTGATTAATCATATATGCAGGCAACCAATAGATAGACTACATTTAACATGTATTTATCTTTTACTTTGTATTTTCTTAAGCTCTTTGAATTGTAGAAAACCAAGAAGTACAAGTTTTATCATAAATTGTTGACTGTAGACTTTTAGAGTAACTTTTTTTAACAGTAATGGTAAAATTGAATTGAATCTCTGTCCAATATTAACATGGATAATAGGTTCTTATCTTGGTGCCTCTTCCTGACCTGTTGATTCTCATTTTTGACCTTGAAAGTTGATGTATTAAGATGTGTTATGGTTTATAAAGGGATTTTACATCATGCATTCTTTGTATGCACTTTTTTATAATGGAATTTTAGGAATATTTTTTGTGCTACTTTGAGTGCACTGTTGTCTGTAGTGCTTTAAGAAGGCCACATGTAAGTACCTATAACTTTAGAGAACTGAAGAGTTCCATGGAGAAGCCTTTGGTATTGGTTGGCTGATTATAATGAATATTTAGACTAATGTTGTGAAGCTGCACTGCACTCTACTTTGTCTCCCACTGTGGAAGCAGTTCAGCTCTTCTCCAGGCAGCTGCAGCAGTGGCCACCAGTTCTCACCAGAAGGCTTTTGGCTACTGCAGGAGTTTGAGGCTGGCAGGGGGGGGATTAGAAGTTGCCCACTGGTGGCTGCACAATAGCAGGAGTTTGATAATCCACTGAGTCCATGAACTGATGCCAGTCTTTTATACCAGATGTATTTGCAATCCAGGTAGAAACTGTATGCTGTGGTTGTATTATGCTTAAACTGATGATCAAAATTTTTTGGTTTTAAGTATGATTAACGTTAACTGAAGCATTTCAAGGGCAACACTGTAACTGAACCAGCTTCAGAGTCAGAAGGTTTAGGTGTGGCTGTTACCTGTGCAAGACTGTTCTGTCCTTTCACAGGTGATTTGGTCTATCTTAAGTTTTTGTCTAAGAGGAGGATATGTTTCTCATTTTAAAGTCCTAAGTAGTTACTGTTGACAAAGGAAGATCCTGATGCTGTGAGGTGAACTACTTGAGAAGTTGATGAGCCTGTGGTGTGCAAGCAAGATTATCCTTCAGTAGTGGTGGTAATCTGCAAGGACACTTGAAGCTACAGTGTGGGATTTGATAAATATAGAGGCATGAGTTCTAGACATAGTCTCAGAAAATCAAACTTGAATAATGATGTTACTTTTAAGGGTTTCAGATGTTTCAAATGAGACTGATACCAAGTGTTCATAGAGTTGCTTTGTCTTTAAATAAGTTTCATTTCTTTTTTTTGTACAGCTCCCCCCATACAATGATACAGTTTCATGTGGTATTAAGTCCACAGGTAAGTTTCTTGATGGTAAGAAATCAACATCCATTTTTTTTTAAAACTTAAAGGTTGTGACACTTTCCTTAGATTTACTACAACCTTTCTTTAAATTTAAT